CAAACGCCTGAACGGTGTCGATGGCTTGTTGCAAAGTTGCTCCTTCTTTCCCAGTGAGCCTTTGTTGACCCACAGAGTGATATCATCAGCGCAGAGCGTGAATTGGAGGTTAGGGTTTCGCTCCAGCTGCTTTACCGGTAGATTCATCGCTATATTATAGAGGAGTGGTGAAAGGACTGCGCCTTGCAGTGTGCCTCTATATGGCATTGGAAATTTTTGGGAGCGTATGTTCTCCATGCCAATGGTTGCTGTGCGGTTGGAAACAAATGATTTGATATAGCAAAATGTTCTAATACCACAATTCAATGATTGAAGTTCTTCCAGTACAAGTCTATGAGATATTGTATCAAATGCCTGCCTCAAATCTAGCGCTGCGACTACGTTCTCTCCTCCAGAGATTACTTTCTGAATCACTTCATATTTTATTTGCAAGAATATATTCTGCGTAGACAAATGCTGTCTGAATCCATCCATGTTGTGAGACAGATAATTCTCTCTTTCTACATATTCAGAAAGCCTGGTGTGCACAACCATCTCAAAAAAGCTTGCTTAGGCATGATGTCAACAATATGGGCCGAAGGTTGTGAAGCGTTTTATCCTTTCCAGGTATTGAAATAATAAATATGTTGGCCTCCTTCCATCGACTAGAGATTTCTCCCCCTGCCCAGACTTTTTCGTTAAAGTATCGGGTAAATTTTCTGTTATCGCTCATATTTCTCAACATCGCATTAGTTATTCCATCCTCTCCCGGAGCCTTTTACGCGACATTGCAGCCGGGAAGACCTCTTGCTCACTTATGGGGGAATCTAGGTTCTCATTTTCTAAACCATTGTATTCTAGATCCTGTATAGTTTCCCCAGCGCTCCCAGTGTATTTCTCCCGAAGTATTTGCAGCAAAGCGTCATAATCCCATTTATATTTTCCCGCTAAAGTTCGCAATGCTGTAGTTGTAGTAGTTTTCGTGTTCATAGGGTCTAGCATACTTTTCAATATTGCCCACGTTGTAGTCGTAGAGTGCGTTCCTCTCAGGGAATCACAGAAGACGACTCAATTACTAGCCTGAAGCTCTCTGGCATATCCATTAGCTTTTACGTACAACTCTGCGATTCTGGCTCTCAGCTTTCTATTCAGTCTCTGCTTTTTCCAGCTTTGATGATGCTGCACCGGCCTTCCCACAAGTACATGAGGTGGGCGTCCACTGCTGGAGTTTTTTTCATTTATTTTGGTGAGCTTGGTATGCAAGCTGTATGCCTTCCTCGTATCGTCCACCCAGTTCTCCAGCGTTTTTAGCGGCTGCTGTGTAAACGGATACGACCTGTAGGCCTCCCATTTGGTTATTTTAGCAATCCAATACGACCTTTTGAGCTTCGGAGCAGAAGTAGAAAAACTGATTATGAAGTGATCACTCCTCATATTCTCATCAAGAATTTTCCAAGATCCGCTTTTAGTATTGTACGTGAATGTTAGATCTAGATATGTGTCCGTACAAACAGTATTGCCGAGTCTAGTGGCCGCCTGAGGCAAAGTCTCTAATTGCAGATTGTATCTCTATACTGCCTGCAATAAATCTGGGCGTTTCCTGATGTTTTTTCGGTATCCCCAACAAGTATGGGGAGCATATAAGTCGCCTGCGAAGACTAATTTGTCTTTACGTCCCATGTGCCCAAACTCCCACTCAAGCATCTCGAGAACATTGACGTGACGCTCTTTTGGAGGGCTGTGTGTATTAAGAATAAACGTTTTGGCTTTACCCCATTTGGTGGTATGGAGCTCAATCGATTGGTGCTTTGTTGGGCACTCAGATTGATGGTATACACTGCTCGCCATACATTTATGCACCAATGTGGCGATCCTAGAGTACTGTAAAATCTGGATGGTCTAATAATCTCTTATTTTATTACGCCCTTGCCAATGTCCTGCAAACATATCACGTCAGTTTGTGTATTTGAGCGTCCATGTGTGATTGCAGCGCTGCCGCTCGCTTTTGGAACGAGCGGCTGTTCTAATGCTATATCTCAACGGAGTCAGTGGTGCGAGTTGTATTATTGGCCATTGCTAATCACACTCTCGACATCTGTAGAGTCAGACCCTGCCCCACTTTTAATTTTACTTGCCATGGGAGCATCTTGATCACTGCAAGCTCTTTTACATGAGCTTTGCTGTTTATTCAATTGCATATGCACATTAGCCTTCTGGCTCTGAAGCTCCGCATACAATTGTTGCTGAAAGTTTTGCAGACCGTGCATCTGTTGCACCAGTGGGCTCATTGTTTTTTTAATAATTTCTAACGTGATGGGCTTAGTGGAGGGTTTATCTGCGTGATTAATTTGACTAATGCGCCCATGGAGTTTTGTAGTTGCATCCTGAGAGCTGCTACTTCTAATTTGAGTTTGCCCAACGACTGCTTTGAATATCGGTTTTCGGAAAGTATTCTCTGATACTCGGGGTGCGATGTTATTCGGGTCGCTTTCGCGCCGTTTCCTCCGCCCTGCTCACCTGCTCCTGGGTCGAGCTCCCGGCCACTCCAGGCGTCCTGGTTGGGGTAGGGGATCGGGATTGAGGACAGGAGGTAGGTTGCGACTTTGGGGCTCCTAGTTCATAATGTGTCTTCCTTTTCTTCGTGATCGTGCCTTGTGCCTTTTCTTTTCGGCTGGATCCGCCTGGTTTCCAACCTGTGGCCATTCTTCGTTATGTTCAGTGTATTCCGATGCATACCACTTTGGTTTTGGCGGCGATAGTAAAGCTCCGTTAGTCACCCTTTTTTCTGTCTTCCGGTCTGGCACCTCTAGATGCTGCTGCCTTACTGGATGCTTGAAGCGCTGTTTGCATTTTTTGGTTCCCGTCAAGTGTCCCTCTCCACACGTGGAACATACATGGTTGCAGGAGTGGTCCGGTTGAGGTTCCATCATACCACAGTTGGGACAAACGGCGATGGTGGGTGTCGGGACACCGTCTGTTCTGTGTCCCGTTCGGTTGCAGTCATAGCGGTATTGTATAATATTCTTGAATGGGAAACAGTGGACCTCGCCGCCCATACAGTACACAAATCTTGTTGTAATGGTGCCCAAAAACGTGATCACCGCTTTCTTTGTCTTTCCAAGCATTCTGGATCTTGGGATCTCGACTCCTTGTGTCCGTATGCGTAGATTTTCCAGGAGAGTTTCTGGGCTTATGTTGGGAGTCAAACCATGTATGACTCCTTTCCGCCTGCCGTCTCCCACTGCTGCATAGGCATTAACAGCATGCAATCTTCCGTTGAGAGGGAGGCTTGTGATTGTTCTGGTGATAACAGACACGTTCTGGTTGGGAGTGGAGATCGTGAATATCTTGGATCCTGGCTTCAGCCGGAGCAAAAATTGGTTGCCGCTCATTGTACCTTGATATGCGTTCGCAATTGCTTCTGCAATTTGTGGTGCCGTTAGTTCTCTTATAGGCAGTCCTTGGGATGGTCTTACGATAATGTTGAAGTCCTCCTTGGGGAGATGTGGTAGCTTCCGCTTCTGTGGTCTTCTTCGCGACGTAGGTTGCGAAAGTGACTTGGATGTAGGACTCATGATGTCATAGTCTTTCTCTGTTGTCGTGAGTTTCTTTCCCGCTTTCGCGAAAACTTTTTTGATGAACGGTAGAGACCGTCTGCCAGCCTCCATCATTGTCGGGTTCCTTGCCTCCAGATGTACCGTCGGTTCCTTCGTTGTCTTGGTGGGTGATGGCATCACCCGCAACGCTCTCCTGGCATTTCATTTCAGCCTGGTCTAAGGCTGACGTATCAGGCTCTGCCTTCTGGTCTGTCTTTAGACGTATTGTCTTTTTAAGCGGTGTCTTCGTCGAATTCAACCGGACATGAGACGCCGCAGGCGCTCTCGTAAGAGCCAACGATGTTATCGCCATCGGACGCTACCGCGCCGTCAACGCTTGGCGCGTCTCAGGCGTAGGCGTCTCGCCGCGGCATCGTTGCTCGCTCGGTCACAGCGGGCATGTCGTCGACCGAAAATAGATTCGAAAAGGCTGCTCACCGAAAAAAGGTTGTCATCCACGGGTAGCCCTGATGTTCCTGAGCACAGTGTGACAGCACAGTCTAAGTAAGTCACAACAAAGTCACATAAAGTTAGCAAACCTCGTGGGGCACATGTCAGCAGTGCTTCACTCGTCGGCGCCACCTAGCGGTCTCACCGGAGACATCACAGTCTTCAGCAAAACCAGCTGCTTGGAAGAAATAGTGCGATTGGAAACTGTACGAAAAACCACGAGACCCTTTTCCTAAATCGCGTGGCATACGGGGTTCGTTTTTGTCTGCCTAATATTGTTGATACGATAATGCTGATTATGGCGTACCGTAACACCACTCCCGTTGGTGTCTACGGAGGTAGTTGTTCATTGCGGTTTGCCTGCGTAAAAGACGTGTTCATGTTTATTATCCTGTTGGCTGAAAGAAAAAACCGCGTCTTGGGCAAGTGAAGATTGCGTTCCACCAACTTCAACTTACGAACGTCAGACGTCACTCATAACCCACTGGTGTAAAGATTACTGTTTCTCGACGCTGCTTTTGCGTTCCTTAAAAAAATAACGTGTGACTCCAGCACGTTCTTGCGTCCCTAAAAGAAGAAAAACAATGATGTAGACTAAGTATGCACTGCAATTAAGGAAATTATTTTTTTCGGCCGCGCGTTGTTGCAATTGCTTAGTACCTGCTCGGGCGTATCTTTCTTTTTTCTTAAATAAATCGCAATGCTCGAAGAAGGTTCTTGTTTTTAACGATTCATTGGATGGTGTTCGTGCAAAAAAGTTCATGTTGGATGCGCTTGCAGATTACTTGACGTAGTAGTAAAACAGACTACTTGGCATAATAACATAAGTTCAGAAGCTCCGCTCATGTAGCTTTGACTGTGCTGCCACAGATATTTGTCACCGAGTATAGTCCACATGAAGCCCTATCATGACAGATCGTCGGAAAACGAGCGAGAGTGCACATGCATCCTTTCACGTTCTCCAGCATTGGGACGATGCATCTGAGGAGGGTGATAGTGTCGCGACAGGGTGGCAACATTCAAATAGCCCGCTGTGACCATCGTGGCACGAGCACCAGGCCAGGCCCTGCTGGCATGCGCCACGTGCTCCTGCGCTCTGGCTACGAAAAAGAAGAAGACAGTTGGATCTGAAGAATTCGACTACTCGGACTTCAACGACCATAGCCATTAGACTCGTGGGCACAAGTTTGCTATAATAAATACGCTTGTTTTAGTAGACTGTCTGCTTCCGCATCGCTACAGTATCTTCAGCAGTCCCTGGTTTCACTCTGCGCTATCTGGTTTTCGGTTTCGTTGTTTTTTTCTTCTACTTTTTGGCGTCTAAATTGCCCGCGAGCAGGCGACACGTGTCCACGTGCTCCAGCACGAGCGAGCTTAGCGAGCCGCCATTCTAATTAGTGAAGCGTTCGGAAAAACAAGTCCGTGAAAGAAGACGTGCTGTGTTTCCACCTGCCTCGTAAAACCTCTCCTCAGCGGTTCCCAAGTGCGTGGTCTGGATGGCCACACAAGACCGAACAGGACCGGGCGCGACTCGACGCTCTACAACTGGTGACCACCACCTAGGCCACGTTGTCGTACCGCCAACATTACTTCGTACGGCAGGACTGCCACCTCCGGTGGAGACCATGGTGTGCTGCTTCCGCGGCCAGTACTCCCAATCCATCCTTACTGCGCTTGCAACTACAGCTGAGCCTGTTCAGAAACACATGATACCTTCAAAGCTACCAAGATTCCCCTATGACGTCGATTGTGAAGCGGTCTGGGACGAGCAGCTAGTGACACTCTGTCTCCCAACCCACTGTGCTTAACTGCTACTGGTCCAGGATCGTCTGGCGGCATCTTGGCGTGTCTTTTGAAGTCACTTCCTCGTGCTGTGTGACCTCGCTCGAGAAGTTGTTACTTTGCGTAGGTAACATGGACCGCAGGGTCATGCAGCAACGTCACCGCTCGAACACGCCATCCTGGCTGGAGCAGCAAGGTCCCGGTACATCTGTGTGTTGTTGCGCTTAGTGAGTGAACCTGTCGGGTACATTGGCCAGGGAATGGCAACATCCACTCTTTATTATTGAACGTATGACAAATAAACGGTTATTGACGTTATGTGCTACCTTCCAGTTTCTTTGATGAGTAATAATCACCGATTCAGTCAAATACTAGCAAACACTGGGATCATCTTCCAGATATGTAGTTGTTGAACTTTATACGCCGCAATGCTGCGTCAACACAATCTCTTCATGAAGGTGTTTATGTTCGACTACTCATGACCTACGAAACCTGCGTCTTCAAAGTGTTTAGCGGTTGCTTTTGTCCTTGAATACAACGCCAGCTTTAAAGCTGGTCTCTCTGTTTGCTTTTATTAAAAATTTATATACCTTTTGAATGTAATGTCCCGATACTACTATTATGAATCTGAAAGACGCCGTACTGAAGGGCTACGAAAACTTCCTACCACGGGGGGTCTTTACGTGCATATATATATATATATATATATATATATATATATATATATATATATATATATATATATATATATATATATATATGCAGAAGAATAACTTCGGTTGCCGCAAGGTTATAAATATGAAAGTAGATGCGCTTTCACATAACAACTGTTTATTGTGCCGACGTTTCGACAGGAACCCTGTCTTTTTCAAGGCATAATACTATTTACACATGTTCCGTGCCTTTTTATATCCTGTCGAGACAGGAGGGGAGGGGTCAAATGAGAAAGAGAGAGAAAAAAAGAAAAAAAAGGAAGAAACAGCGAAACGGGAGGACAAACAATAAATAAAATATAGAAAATCTAGGAGAAGAAGCAAGACCGACATGGCGTAATTAGAAAGCGGCAGCATTTCAACAGAGTAGGGCAGAGGTAGATGAGGAGTGTCATCATTGTCAACAATACCTCCCCCGCACCCACACTTCCCCAAGTGGGCAGGGAGCCGCCGTTTTTGTATTTCACCTTTCCGTGTAGTCCGCTGGCGGCTCGTTCCTCTTTGAAGTGTATGACAAGTTAATGGGGAGGGCTTAAGCGCTTTAAGTGCATGCTGGTGGCATCGGGAGTAGCCAAAAAGCCGGTGAATGAGGCACTGCCATCGATATTCGTTATATGCATTGGTTCCTTGTCAGTGAAGGAACAGAATGTGCGCTAAAGGATTAACGAAGGAAAAAAAAAGAAGAAGAACAGGGGGGGGGGGGGGGAGAGAGACTGTACCACTCCGGGACAGTCACCACACAGTGGAGGCGCACTGGGAAGATATGCGTGCATGTAGGAAAAAGTTAACGAAACCACCTAGCTGTCAGCTTCTTGTCAGTGAAGGAAAAAAATGTGCGTTGAAGCTTGACGAAAAAAAAAAGGGGGGGGGGGACCGTACGACCTCCGGGACCACTTATCTGTGCGTTCCGGCTGTGCTTCCTGTCTCCCTCCTCCTGTCTGTCTCGACAGGATATAAAAAGGCACGGAACATGTGTAAATAGTATTATGCCTTGAAAAAGACAGGGTTCCTGTCGAAACGTCGGCACAATAAACAGTTGTTATGTGAAAGCGCATCTACTTTCATATTTATATATATATATATATATATATATATATATATATATATATATATATATATATATAACGTTACGCACAATCAGGATGATGTCAGAATAACTATTCATTGGAGCTAACTTGTGCGCCTAAAAGTAAAGCAAACTGTAGCAGAGTTGATAACAGGCGATTCCGCAAAAAAATGAATCTCCGAGAAGACTTCGAGCGGTGCAACAATTCTTTCTCGTCAATATCCCGTGCTGAGGAGGCGCGCACCGTCACTTCCTTTTAAAGGCGATAGTCTTTCTTGTGGACCTTCACCAGAAAAATTTTGGTTGGTCTGTCTGTCAATACAATTGTCTGTTTGTCAAACGATACCTCAAACGGCACCAATCAGACAACGCCATCCGCAGTATCCACCAATATGGCTCCAGATTTAGCATTCATTGTTGTGCGGTTGTCAATTAAATAAGGCAGATCCCACGGACATTGGGAATCGATGAAATGCAAAGCACGAATGAGAAACGTTGATATGTCGCATTAAAATCAGCACAACGTTACGAGGTGGAAGTAGATGATGCCGTACATGGCTTCCGTGACAGGATTATCATGTTTGAATGTGTCGCTTACCTTGGTCATCTGTTCACGTTATGTGATACCAAATTTAGTATACGCGGAGCTAGCGAAATGGTTGCGAGCACGCTATAAGCGTGGTATGTTGTCATTATGTTACATTACATGCGTGTCAGGATTATATGTTTGCACAAATCATGTACTTCGTCATCCATTGACGTCACGTAACATCAAATATGGCATATGTGGAGCTAGCAAAACCGCCGCGAACGCATCATGAAGGGCCCATTATACGCCAATGTAGTGTTGACGTGCGCCCACGCTGGGCACAGCGACGCTACGTTGGCAAAACGCGAGCACTTATAGCCTGACGCCAGGCGCGACCAGCGCGACCAGCGTCCATCGGCGCGGCCTGACGGCAACCGGCGCGAAATGCGACAAGCTGCCTTTCGCGCCGATGCGTTACCCAGACAACATTGCTTCTCCCTCTTTACGTCACTAATGGACGTGAGACGCGCTGAAACGCGCATGCTTCAAAGCAACGCAGAGCGGCGCGTGCCTGCGAGTATATGGCAGGACCGACGCCTGGCGTGGCAATGCCGGCGTGACGCGACGAAATGAACTCCGGCGAGCACGCGCACCGCGTCACGTCGAAATGTATTGGTGCCTTGACTGTGGAATGTAGTCATGTTCTCACATGATACGCACCTCATGATTATCATGTTTGCACCAGTCATGTACTTTTGTCATCCATTGAGGTCACGGAATACCGGATTTGGTACATGTGAAGCTAGCGAAACGGCCGGGAGCGCATCATGAGCGTAACATGTAGTCATGTTGTTACACAACACGCATGTCATGTTTATCATGTTTGCACCAGTATCATACCTTCGTCATCCATTCACAACCCGTAATACCAGATTTGGTACAAGTGAAGCTACCGATACTGCCGCGAGCTCATCAGGAGCGTGGCATGTAAACATGTTGTTACATGGCACGCATCCCATGGTTATCATGTTTGCACCTGTCACATGCCTTCGTCATCCATTCACGCACCGTAATACCGAATTTGGTATATGTGGCGCTAGAGAATTGGCCGCGAACGTGTCATGAGCGTGGCACGTAGTCATGTTGTTACATGACACGCATCTCATGATTATCAAGTTTTGCACCAGTCACATACCTTAGTTATCTATTCACGTACCGTAATATTAAATTTGGTATATGTTACACTAGCGAAATGGCCGGGAGCGCATCATGAGCGTGGCATGTAATCATGTTGTTACATGACACGCATGTCATAATTTTTTATGTTAGGGTCTGTGATTGTGTTTGCAATGCAATCATGTCATACCATACCAGTTTTGCAACATGCCATGTGAACGAAACCACCGCAATAAGTGCAGGACCATGAAATGTAAATCATAACATTTATGACATAAATGTCATGATTTTCATGTTATGACTAGTCACATATGCTCTTCATACAGTCATGATATGCCATACCAAGTTTGGTATTGATACCATTATCGAAACAGCCAGGAGAGCTAGAAGTCGTAGCCGGCTAGATTGCTAGATAGATACGCTCAGTCACCGAAGCTCGCTGAAAAATGCTTCGCATTTAAAAAGCAAATATTGCGCATATCTGAGGCGCCATAACAACATATCTATGTTTTGTATGTCTGTCTTTATACTAGAAGAGGCACAAACAAGTACCTCTAAGTACTGTAGCATTTAAAGCACTGCGCTGACAGTGCAACGCGAAGCTGAAGAACGTGTTTCCAACGCTTTACCACGACGGCACGGTGGTGGCACCTGCGCGTCGCTTTGCATACTACACCTTATCACCACCGTGATTGGCGCGCATCTTTCTCCGCGGTCGTGCATGGCTTCGTTTTCGAAGATAACTGCCAGATGGCACTCGTACCTAACGTGCATTAGGGAGCCTACATGAACGGCCGTTTTTAGGGTGATGTCAGCCTTTGACCCACTACATGCCGCCAATGCACCGCCGCCCG